CAACCCCCGCAAAAGCTTCCGAGACTTGGAAAACGTGGTGTCTCTCCTCCAAGACCTGAACGCCTTTGAAATTCGAAACGTAGCCGAGCAAGCGGAGGAAGCTCTCGCCGACACGAGCCGTCACTTAAACTGCGCCGAGATGGACTTTAGCCAGTCCGTCAAAGAGTACGCTGCGCACGTATCGCTCGACGATTTTGTCAGAAACGAGGCCGAATACGCCAAGCTATACTTTCGAGTCGTTCACGATTTCTACTGGCGGCACAAGCAAAAGATGGCCAACGTCAATTACACTTACTGTCTCGACAATCTCAAGGTAGACGGAGCCGATGACCCCTATTATCCCCTGCAGAAACCGATCGAAGAGCTCGTCGAGGTCATGAAGTCTCTCGCGGCTCGACACGTAGAGTACAAACGGGTCTACTTTTCTCGAAATTGTCCCTGTAAACGGCACCGCCCAGAGCAGCAAGACGATGAACAAGACCGATGTTACCTATTTGACCTCAACGAGTACGCCGAGTGTCAGGAAACGGCATCCGTCCTCGAACTACACTCGATCCTCGGCTACTGCGATTCGGACGACTGCCGCTGCAAAACGGACGAACTCCTCTACAGCAAACACCTGTTGTACAAACAAAAGCGCTGTCACTTTTGGTTCATAGAACTCGTGTTGGAATTTCCCGTACGCGAGCACGTTCTGAATCTGGAATACACCAGATTGTAGATGGGCAAGGAGGGGTGGGACAAATATCGTCACGGAGATTTTGGGTCGTAAAATTCAAAGTCGTCCTCTTCTTCCTCCTCCACGACGACGACCTTGCTGGTGTTTTGCAAGACGCCCACGTGCGAAATGTCGAGACCAAATGCAAAGTTGGTTGAAGTCCAGCCCCTCTTGCGTTCTTCGCACAGCGCCGACTTGACGAGCACCTTTTTGGGGTTCTCGAAACAGGCCGCCGAGAGGCGATCTCTCGCCTTGCCAATGTACGATCGATTCAGAGAAGCAATTTTGTTTGGGTCTCGCGTCAGCATGTTGATGTACAAACGAATGTAGGCCAATAAAACGTTATCCTTGTTCGAATCGGCATCCAACACGTTCTTTAGACTCTTGTATAGGTGAGAATAGATGCGCCTGTTTGTTCGACACAATACCAACAGCGACGACATGTGATCCAGTGGATCGATATAGTCTAGGTTCTTCAAGACCCACCGGGTAAACTGAGGACACAGGTTGTTGGTAAAGTACTCTTGCGGAATGACAAAGACCAACTGCTCGTCCTCCGTCAAAAGGGCGCAGTCCAACAACTTTTCAACCACCACATCGCATCCGCTAAAGTCGACGGCGACCTCGTTCGCGAGACGAAAGTAGACCGGAGTAAAGTCGCCGTTCTTGACCCTCTTGCCGTTAAACAGGGTGTACACAATCTGCTTGCCCTGATCGAGGGCGTCCACTTGCAGGCGCGACCGACCGGCCGCCCTCTGCCGAAACACCTGGATCGCGTTTTCACAGTCTCCTTCGCGCTCGTCGGGCTTGAGGTCCCCGTCCTTCACGTTGCGAATCAGATCTTTACAGGCCTTTTCTCGATTGTGCGAAGAGTCCAGATAGTCTTGGGTGAGTGGAGAGGTGATGTTTTGCGCCACCACGTCACCCAGTCCGATTCCCACTTGGGCAAAGGAAAACATCACGGTGCAAAACATGGCGGTGAAAAAATCCACGCCGCAAGCGTCGTCCACGTACTCGTCGTATTTGGGGGGCACGCGCATGTCCTCGTCGCAGTACGATATCAACACGAGCGTGTGGTGCAGCACGATCCTAAACATTTTGCGAGTGTAGTAGCGCAGGCTCGCAATCTGTTCCATCGCGTCGGGTGGGTCGCGATCGGTTGACACCAGAGTAGAGTGCACGACGGGGTCTAGGGGTGCCGCTACCGAAACGTCGTAAAATATACAGCCGTCGTCAGTGGCATACTCGTACGTTTTCAGTAACGCCTCTAGGGAGGGTAGACTACTGTTGGCATCCGGCTCCAGAGTCTGTAAATAGGCCTTTCGAATGTTACCCACTACTCTCCTGATTCTCTCCATAGATAAAATATGCGATGGACGGTATAAAGAGGGTGGGTTCGAAGCACCAATATATTCCACCCAAAAAGAACGCCGAGAGCGGTGGTGGCATACGCTGGAGCATCGTCTATCTGGCGTCCAGCGTCGGATTCCTTTGCAGTTTATATTACGTTCATTACAAAAATAGGCGAAGGTTGTTGGAAACCTGTCGATCCTACAGACACCTTTGCGAGCGCAAAAACGCCAAGAAAAACGCCCAGATATTGACGGACGAACAACTGCTCGAGATTCTAGACGGGCTCGCGTACGTCAAACTCAGAATACTCGCCAGCGACCCAAACAAGCTCAGAAAACTCGTTTATAAAGAAAATAATGTGGACGCAATATTCAAACATGCACCATTCTCTGTGTAACATAACGGCCGACGGTTACGTCTACAAGCACGGGCGGCTCATTGGCTACCCGAGCTGGTTCGTAACAGAAGAGTACGACAAGCGTCACATCGAGTGTAGGGTGGTCGATACCTCGGGCCTCCTCAAATCCGACCTAGAAGACTCGATGCGCCGAATGTTGGCACCCGACGTCATCCTGTCGCCCTACATCGACCGATGGGAGCAAAAACCGCCCGTCGTAGCCGTCGACGGAGAGTTTGTCTCGCGAATTTACAGTGACCTTCGCGAGCTCAGAAACTCGGCCGCCTTTGTCGGTTTCGAAGACGCCTTCGAGCAGAGCCTCGTAAAAAATCTCCCCGACGGCGACGTAGTCTTCGATTTTAGATGCGTCGACCTGGCCTTTTCACTGTCCACCACTTACAAGACGGACCTCTTTCAATTTTTCTTCTACGTGCTCGTTCCCGTCTTGAGAAACTGCATCGTCCACGCCCAACTCACGCTCGACAACAACGAGTACGAAAACAGAACATTTTGCCACGCGTCCAACGTTCTCTACTACTTTCTGGAAAACCTAGTCTACCATCTCCTCACCAAAAATTCCTCGCGCAACAACGGACTCGCATCCCTCGAAATTGTAGACAAGTGCAAGCCCAGGGTCGACGACGCCAAAATCACCAAAAGCGTGCTCCAGCCCGTCTACGTCCGCAGAGCCATGACCGAGGCCTTTCGCCTCTCCTCCTGGGTGGGCGACGGATCCGTCGACTCCAACACACTCTGCATCCGCGTGGGCCATCTCAAGGCCCCGAGCACAGTAGAGATACGAAACGTAAACGCGCCCGTCTCGTACGTAAAGTACAACTCGGAATGTCCTTCGGAAGCCTACTTTGGGTCGGCAGCCACCTTTGTACTCGACGTACCCAACGACCGAGTCTTCAACTGGGCCGTCGTCAAGTGCAACGAGGCGCATGTCGAGGGGCTCCACTTCCCCATACCTGCCATCTCGGGTAGCCACACCGATCCCGTCTACATAAACTACCTAGACACGTGCGCATCTAGCATCCGCGTGCTAGACATGGGCTACTTTACAGTGCCCGCCTTCTTTGGAAAACACGAATACAGCCAAAAGTTTACCTCGCTCGAGTATCTCCGCTGCGGCAGCCTGCAAAGCGAAAGCTGGTACGCGATGCTACACGAAAACACCTCGCCCGTGGCCTTCGAGTGGAACAACATCGTGAGGATTCTAGACTCGCGTACTCAAAAGCCCTGCGCCCTAATCAAACTCATTTCGGACCACACGACCCACATTGGCCTCACTCACCCTGACGACCTATACTGGCTAACTCCAGAACTCGACGCAAATTCCTGGACCTCGGCGTCCTTCGTAGACATACCGCCGTACGAGTTGCACCGCGAATATAGCGCTGGTGGCGACGTAGAAGAAGACTCGAACATAGTTATCATCACGCGAGACCGCTGGCCCTTCGTCAATCTTTTCAAGGTCAAGATATCCGTCGTAGAAGGGGGGCCACTCTGCAAATATCTCGACTCGTGCATCTTCAAGCGCGACACGCCGCTCCTACCTCACTTGCAAACCTTTCACGTGCGGTGTCCCATAGACATGTTCACGCGCATATGCACCAAACACCTCAAGGGCGGCGAACGACTACAAGAACTCACCGTCTACTGCGAAACCAGATTCTGCGACAACAGATACATTCAAATCATAAATCAAATATGCAAAACCGCCACGCGCCTGCGATCCCTGTCCATCTACAGCAACCCCTCGACTACCGCAGAGTATATTCTCAACAACATCCAGAGTCAAAGTCTCCAGTCCCTCTATCTTCTCTCCAACAACATTAGCGTACCTGGCATGAGCGTTCCAGTCATGTACGGCGAGTCCGAACTCTCTCGCAAATTTTGCGTCGACCTACTCAAAAAGTCCTTTCCGAATTTGCGCTACTGTCTATGCGCCTTCAATCACATGTACAACATGGACCTGTCACCCACGCCCGCTCTGTTGAGGCAAAACTTTATTAATCCGCCCACGCCCATATCGTCTGTACGAGAAGAAAACGAAGATACGTACCTGCCGGCAAAGAAGCCTCGTCCTCCGCCCAGACAACAGCAAAGGCCCGTAGAACCACCCAAACAATCCAACATGTCAGAGACTCTCTTGGAACAAGACTTTATTCCACCACCCAGCATTTCGACAACTTCGATTGAAGAATTGAAAACTCCGGACCCACCCTTATCGTCCACCACGGAAACTCCTCTGACCAGCGAAGTAGACAGCGTTAAGAACTTTCCATCGTCCGAAGACGGCAACAGTATTAACCTATCCAATCTCGGCAACAAACCTTCCATTTCTACAGTCTATGCAGATGGCGCCGTCTACTCCGACACGTCGGTAGAGGCTAAAAGAGTCTTTGAAAACGACCAAGTCGGTCGAGACGTGGTGCAATCGATGCAACCCAAGCCCACCTTCCCAGTCAACCCCTATTTACTTAAAGGAACGGTACAAGGAGAATACGACGAAGACATTTAAAATAATAAAGATCAATTATTTATTTATTTATTCGCTTTTCTCGATAACTGCAGTCAGAGTTGACCGCATCGTGTTCTCGAATCTTTGACGCCAACTTCTTTTTAAAGTTACCCCAATCGCCCAGCAAGTCCGTATAACTGTGACCGCACTCGAGGCAATAAAGTTGGGGCTCCGTGTTCCATATCGTCTCGGGATAGACGCACACGCCATTCATGGCCAACAAGCGGGCACAATCGTCGTTAAACAACAACTTCAGTATGAGATACACCGCTTTCGTGTCGTACATTTTGTAAAAAAAGAGCTAAAAGCTTGCCAACCACCTCCACTCCAATCCACATCCAGTTTTTTTGTCCCTCACGCGCTTATGCGATGCTCAAAGGGGGCTCTGCTTTTACGAGAGTTTATCCCAACGAGCAAAAATCGCCTCTGGGTTAACAAAAACTTCAGTATGAGATACACCGCTTTCGTGGAGCTAAAAGCTTGCCAACCACCTCCACTCCAATCCACATCCAGTTTTTTTTGTCCCTCACGCGCTTATGCGATGCTCAAAGGGGGCTCTGCTTTTACGAGAGTTTATCCCAACGAGCAAAAATCGCCTCTGGGTTAACAACAACTTCAGTATGAGATACACCGCTTTCGTGTCGTATATTTTGTAAAAAAAAAAGAGCTAAAAGTTGGCCAACCACCTCCACTCCAATCCACATCCAGTTTTTTTTTGTCCCTCACGCGCTTATGCGATGCTCAAAGGGGGCTCTGCTTTTACGAGAGTTTATCCCAACGAGCAAAATCGCCTCTGGGGTAGCAATTACCTACCTAATGTCAGCTACGGAAAACACGGGACACAGTCTAGATAGCCTAACCTTATACCACACACCCAACCCCCTGGTGTGTTGGAATGACCGCAACACCCTGACCATGCTACGTTCCTGTCGACGCTAGCACACACAATTTTCTCTATAGACATCATTAAGGGCCAATGGTCGAAAACAGAAACGGCTTCGGGCACTGCGGTCAATTAGCTAATACATCTCTACATGGGGGACAGAAAGATACACACAACCTAACCGACTAACGGCGAAACCCTGACACCACACTCTCTAACGCGCCAAAAAACAGCTCAGGCTCCCGTTTGCCCGTGAAATGACGGTCAATGCATTAGAAGGTGTGCGACATGCCCAACCCTCTGAAACTAAGAACGGACACCTTTAACCACCTGAAGTCTCAACAAAAATCCCCAGTCAAAATCATGTCATTATATGCCTATCACTATAGCAAAGTATTCTCGTTAAACGCAGAGACGAATTCGACAGCATTGTGTCAAACTGGTCCCACGTATCCCCGGGCTAGTCATTGTCAGAAGTTACTTTTAACCTACTGACATATGCGACATGCACAATCGCCTCCCGTACAGAAGAGCGCGTGCCGGTGGCATTTGTCGACAACTTTATGCGCATATTCAACATGAAATCAACTAGTGGTATTTGTATCTCTTCCTGGCGGTAGTGCATTTACCATCACTCGTTTGCTGAGAAACGGGTAGATGGCAAGTAGAAATTACTCCTAACCAGAGGTGAGACACACACCCTAGCATAGCTAGGAACGCAACTCTCACCAGCAGTACGTTCGCTGCCTCGCAAAAATAATTGCAAGCTATACAGAGCCCCTAACTACTCTAAGCTAGTGAGCCATTTGGGTAGGACGTACACTCGGGCAATTCGATGACCATTTTCCCCATCTACCCTACTCCTACCTCACCATCAGTTTGCTAGCCCTACAGACAGATCCCCCTAATGCCGCGGCAGCTAACGGTCCAAATCAGAGTAAAAAAAGTTTTCACCTGCCGCGGCAAAATCCCCAATTAGGTCAGTGTGTAGAAAAAAAAGAGTAGTAAATAAACAACGTTTTTGAAACGCGTGGTCATTCGTAACCCGTGCGCACATCCTCTAAGGTCCTTTGGTTGTCGTTTGCCTTTTAAAGCGTCCCTCCAGAGCAACGGACACCAAGGAAAAAGACAAAAACAAGATAATGCTATGACAACGGTCGAGCGTCGGAAACTTACACTTGCAATTGTCTTTTTTCCATCACTCTATTGGGACACAGTTAAATGCATTGACCGTCCTACGTCAGAGAGAGTGTCCTCTAAGCTAAAAACACTAAGAAAATAAAGTGTCCAATGTAGTGGGGAGATGTGAGTGTAGGGTGTGCGTTAATTTGTGTAACAAGCTAGAGGTTGGAACTAACCGTGTAAAACACCGGGGCTAAGTTATCCCAAAAAGCGGCGGACCCTATACGAGGTTAGACGCACTCTCCAATACATCCCCACTAAAAACGTACGAAGAAGCTAACCCCATTTTTTTTTCACCTGCCTCATGGAAAGCTACCTAACACAGTTAACCCACCCCCGATTTACGACGTACGCTGGAGAGCACTGGCAGAGTGCGTCGAGAGACATTTACCTGCCTACCACCGCGTTCATCTAGAGAGAAAAATGCTAGACAGCCTATCTTCGATGGAGTAAACAAATACGTTAATCAAGGGCCGACTTTACATGAATCCGATTCGCATCCATGTAAACGTGACCAATGTGTGGAGCGGACTTGCGATCCAATCTGACCGTGCTTCAATTTCCAAGCCAGTTTAGTTAAAAACGAGCAGAGAAATTGGCTTCGAATGGATCACATTCCTTTTTCAATTAATGCAAAGTATCGACGCAGCTACGACGTGCCTATAAAAAGACGCGCAAACATCCTCGCTAGGCGGAACCCTCGTGCTACCCAAAAAATCGAGTCGGAAAACCAAAACTCCGAGATCGACTGGCTAGCCTGGCTAATACAAACGTTTTGTAGGTGTAGATGGAGTGAAAGTGTATAGTGTATAGTTTACGTGTAGCTAAATATATAAATATAGAGTTGGACTCTTTTTCTACGCAATAGCAAATCTCGGGATCTCTCCATGTTGCGAAGAGCTAGTCTGATTTCAAAAACAACCCCCTGCCTAAGAAATCGCTACACTGACTAGCCGAGGAAAAAAACGCCTCCCACCAAAAAATACGACGCACACTTCGAGATCCTCCGATCGTATCGCATCGAGCATTTACCTACCTCATCTTAACTCGCACATATAAAGGCTAAGGAAAAATCGTTTCTTTAAGCCCTAACCCGAATGAAACTACGCCGATAAAAGCTAAACCGTAAGTCCCTCACAACACGAAAAAGCTATCCAATATAGAGAAAGACCTCATAATATAGCTAAGAGAAATGGAGCCCTAGTTAGGCCTTTTCTTTATTAGCGCCAAGACAATAAAGCATTTTTTTTCTTGGCGACAAAAAAGAAAATGCACGCTCATTTACTACTAGCCTAAGCTTAAACTACGTCCTATATGTAGTGTGAAAACATGTTGCCTCGATTATGTCTACATGGTCCAACGTTCCCTCGACAATAGCTACATTTTGTTAGTCTGTGATTAAAAAAAAAAACGGTGCACTCACGCATCGCCGGCTCCGTGCGCCGTCCTCGCAGGTGGCCGTCTGACGAGAGAGAGAGAGAACCGGTCTTGTGAGCTCATTTATATATACATGATGAGAAGGTCACGTGTTATCAGCTGACCAATCAGCGCCGCTCGCGTAATATGACATAATGCGTGGGCGGAGCGCGTGGCGCAATTTGAGCGGGAAAGATACTGGGCGCGCTTTGTTTGCATACGCGAGCGGAAGGTCACGTGTTAAGATAATGGGCGCGAAACCGGGAGCTCCTTTATTTACATACGCGAGCAGAAGGTCACGTGTTAAGATAATGGGCGCGAAACCGGGAGCTCCTTTATTTACATACGCGAGCAGAAGGTCACGTGTTATATGCTGACGTAATATCACGTCATGTGTGGACGGCGCGCAATTTGAGCGGGAAGATAATTGGCGCGAAACCACTACACGTTAGTGGTGCGACGTGGATTTAAACTCTTTTTCGAGCCGATTTTAATTAAAAGGTTGGTGATTGTGATATGTTGTTGAGAAGCGGATTTGAATACGAGTACGATCGACAGATCCTTAAGCGAAGACAATTCAAAGCTACAGTAAAGAAAAAAGGGCCGCTCCTATTCGGATTAAAAATTCTCTATAGATACTGGTTATTGCGATTAGGACGCCTTTTTTCGAGAAAGCCGAATAGGGGAATTGCCAATCTTCCCTGTTAATAAAATGACCTATTTCGTGGTGAACGCGGCAGACACTTTGTCCAAAGTGCTCTACTGTCCGCTGCTTGGCTCCAACCTTAGCGCTGGGGTTAGAAACGAACTGTTTAGGTACAGTTCGACCAAGCGAATAACCACCCTAGAGAGCAACCAAGTCCCCAGCGCCAACGTGAACGAGCTCTTAGAGGGCGGCCTAGGTGGTAAGAACATGGAGCCGTCCGCGAGAGACAAGAATAGGTGCCCCGAAATTTATGGACAGCTCACGAGTTACAGGCTGGGCGAAAGCACCTTTTGGCGCTGCCGCTCCAAATATCCGGATTTGGTCGACGACGACGGAAAAGTGGTTTGCTGTCGAGGCGGCACCTTCGTGCACTCAAAGACCGGCGAGCCTTACGTAGCGGGCTACCACGACCCTCGGCTCTTCGAGTGCAAAAACTGCCCGCCGGGCTACGTGGCCGGAAGACTCGGCGGGTCTAGTAGTCGACTAAACGCGCATTGTCTGAGAGACGCTTGCTTCCCGGGAAGGAGCGTCGTGGCCAACCAGATTCACGTGGCTATCGGCTACGCGTCGGCGGTCGGTAAAACCACCTGCATGTGTCCGGTGGGGTACGTGGCGTGCCCGGGCCCAGCGTTCAGAAACGAAGACGCAGACTACGTTTGTCCGCACGCCAATAGAAGTGGAACGCCCGTGTGCGTCGAAGACCCCTGCGATCCGTACTGCGGCTCTCGCAAGAAAACGGTCGAACTGCAGGCGGCCGCCTACTACGACCACTCGCTCGGAAACTGCGAGATGACCAAGTACGCCGACCGCGACCGCACCTTTGTTGGCTTTTACGACAAGGGACCGGCCAGGGGCCACCTGAGCAGCTACTCAATTTGTTCCCCCCGACTCCACGACGGTATTGATCGCGTCCTCTGTCCGACGAGAGCTCCGGAACTTACTCCCTGGTTGTGGTTCGAAAATCACGCCAGGAACGTGGCCGTAAACTTGGACGAGGCCACGCACGAGGCGCGATTGCAGTTTGTAAAGGGAATACCGGAAGACGAATACTTTATATAAAATAAACGATGGACTACGTGTACGGCAACGCGGCCACTGCCGTGGCCTCCGTGGCCCTGATTAGCAGAGGCTTCAAACGGACTCGCCAGCAGAGTGGTAATCGGTACGTGTTTGCGAGCCGAGCCAGCGCCGACGACATTTACGAAACCCGCAAACTACACGAAGCCTTTGCGAACGGCTCCGTGGCCCTCTCGGGGGACGCGACCAAGCTGAAAAACATACGCCTGGGCACGTCGCTGATAGACTGCGAAAAGGAGCCTGGGTTTGAAAAAACGTCGATAAGGCAGCTCGTCTCTTCCACGCTCGGCGAACAGTACGTGGCCGTATTCCGTAAAGTCGAATTTAATTGGAACGAAAACCAATTAGACTTTGACGAGGTTTACTGCATGCCGAAAATTCTCAAAGAACACGTAATAAACAGAATAAGGAACAAGGCGGTAAGCTTTTGCAACCCCTTCACGGGCTACGAAGTGATATCCTACGACGGAGGGCGGCTGACCACCTCGTGCATCTGCAAGTTTCCCGACATTTTCGGCGGGCCGACCTGCAGAGACCAGGTGGCCTGCGGAGTGAGGACTCTGGAAGACCGAGTCGTTTTCAAGCATTTATTCGACAGAAAGATGCGCACTCGAATAGATCCGACGGAAGTGCTCGCCGGCGGCGTTGACGCGTCCATACTGCGCGAGGCCCTGTCGGACGGAAGTCCGCGAGTGGTCTGCGACTGCAAGAGCCAAGAAGATCCCGTGCGGTTGACGAGCTCGATACATCCGCTACAATGCCTTCCCGATCCGTGCTTCTCCGGCTTGGCAGCCCAACCGCACGCCAGCGCCGAGGGACTCGGTTGGGACATGCGATGTCGGTGCGGCGACCCCAACGTCACCCGACTGTATCCTATGGGCGAAGCGTCACACTGCGTGGCCCTCAGGCACAACGTCGTCAGGGCGGCGAAGGACGTAAAGTCGCGCACGACCATAGAAACCAAGCGCGGAACCCTAGCCGTGCGCTTAAACAGGGGAGAGGGACCGCTCATGATTCCCGAAGACTATTACGCGGGCCCCAATGAGGACTGGTTCGTTCAGGTCGACCCGTGTAGCTTTTGCCAAGACCTCAAAAAGACCACAAAGATGTTGACTGGCTTTGGCGTGAGCGGCACGCAGCGAGACTACGAAACGGCCAACTACTACGACCTACCCTTTGGCGAGGACACGATATGCACTCGCGCACCCACCGGTCACGGGACCTGCCTCGTGCCCGAATGGAAGGACTACGACCTGTCCGACCCCCAACGAAAGTCGCTGCTGTGCACGATGAGCGAGAGTCCGCGCATGCTCGCCGCGATCGAAAAATACAAGATGCCCCTGCGCTCCATAACGTACGACGAATTCAACGAAACCGGCCGAGATCCGGCCAACTACGACTACGCGTCGCGAGATTACTGGAGAGACTACGTTTTTCTCAAGTTTCAGCTCGGCATACCCCCCACCTCGAAGCCTATATTGACGGTTCTAGGTTGATGTTATGCCTGACGTTGAAAAAAGTGAGGATGGCCGTGATCGCCGTGGTGAATAGTATGGCCGCTACGCAGACGCATATTTTTTTTGTGCAATTGTCGCAGAGCATACAGGCCGCCTCTTTGATGGACATGCTGAAAATCGAGGAAGGACTGTTGGAAACTTCCATTTCGAGCGGGTTTCGTATGGAATAGTAGTGCGCGACGTAATAAACGCTTTTACCATACTTGTCTTGCGGAAACGTCATTGTTCGCGGTCTATGAACGCCGGCGACTGGGTCCTCCATTATTTTTAAATACAGACGTGTAGACGTTTGTCTCAAACGGTGTTTATTATCGACTCTGCAGCATCGTTTACTGGTTGCGAGTACACCTCCGCTTGCACGACTGGCGGTTTCTTGGCTTTCTTCGGGGCACGAGTCTTTTTCTTCTCTGCTACCAATGGCTTGATCGTAACCGGGCTATTGGATGCGGTAATTACCGCCACCTTTTTCTTGCGCTTACTAGTCGCGGTGGACGACTCTGCGGTAGCTGTAGGCTTGGGTTTTGCCTTTGCCCGTTTACGCACAGTCTTGTTTGCAGAGGACTCGCTCTTCTCGACCGCGGCAGAAGCAGCCGCGTGGTCGACGACTACTTTATCGATGACCTCTTCGACGGCGGCCTGCACCTTGGCCTGGATGTCGTTGGAGTCGATGAAACATTCGCACTTCGCGCTTTCTTTGGCGACCACGTCGGTCATGACTTTATCCAATATTCTGGCGAACATCGTCGAATAGGTACGAACGACGGGACGCGGGTGGTTTTTTTAACCGACTTTAAAAATCAATGGTGTTGTTCATGTCTACGGCCGCGAGCCGTCTCCGCCTCTTTTCGGCCATGCTTCTCACAGTGTGCTCGTTCGCGCCGATGCCGTCGGCGTTGTGTAGGTTGGAGACGCCGCTTTTGTTTGCGACCTTGAACTCTTTAATTTTCTTGAGGCAGGTGTTTATTAGAACGGGCTTGTAATCGCTCGCGTATTTGCCGGCGTAAATCACGGCGACCCTGTTTGCGAACCTGGAATCGAGGTCGTCCTCCGACACGTACGCCACGCCGGTGGTTTCGGTGATGTTGTCGTAGGGATACAGGCGCGTGTCTATGACAACGTTCCCCCTACAGCTGTAAGTCCGCATGCGACGACAACCTTCCACAGTGGGGTCCATGTTCATGGCCCTGTATATCACCTGAGATAGGAGACTAAAGAATACGTCCCTGACCATGGTCTTCACCCTGAGTCTGTCCACCAGACCTTCGCAGGTCGACAGGACCGAGACCATGCCCATAAAGGAGTACTTTTCCCTGTACATCTTTTCCAAACAGGTGATGAGAGAGCTTCGCGCCACGTTGACAACCTCCTCGTCGTAGTTTGTGTCCACCTTCAACATTTCCGTCAACATGTCAATCAGAGAAGAGTTGTTCAAAATCTTTATCTGGGAATCGCCCTCGGTCGCGTCGCGTCGGGACGCGGAGGACTTTGCGCACGCGGCCTCAACCGTTCTCCCTTCGCATGCCCGAAAGTTGTCGCCTCCGCACAAGAGATCGTCATCGTAGTCGTCCTGGTTGTTGAGAAACGCCGACGCGTGTTCTATTCTAGTCTCTGGCGCATTGACGCAGTCTGCGAGTCGCGCCGTAGAAATTTGAATGGGGCCAAAAATGTCTTTGTCCATTTATTTTATAATAGACAAGGGATCCGATGCTCTTTCGACACGCACCAGAGACTTCCTGCAAAACTTGGGGTCGTACTTAGGTGAGCAGATTGCGTCTTCGCAAGAAAGATTGTCTTCTTGGTCCGTCCACGGGATTCTACACGTGCTGATTCGCGTGGCCCACCGAGAGTCTAAATCGTCTTCGGATACGTAGGCGACCCCGGTGGTCTCGTACACGTTGTCAAAGGGGTAGAGCCTCGCGTCAATCACCACGTTGCCTCGGCCGGAAAACGTACGGAGTCTTTGCAGTTGGTTCACGCTCTCGTCCATATTCATGCACCTGTACATGACCGCGGGGATCATGCTGTAGAAGGCGTCGCGAAAGGTGAAGAGGCCTCCGCGAAACCTGTCAACCAAACACTCTGTCGTAGAGAGCCAGTGTGCTATACCCGCGTGCCCCATCTTGTATTCGGTGAACTGGAGTAGGAATTTGTGAAAGGCCTTGATTCCCTTCTCGACGTGCTCTTGGCTATAATTTGACGGAATGGAGAGAATGCTTTCCAACACCTCCACGGCGTCGTCTTTCCAAAAAGGATGAGGAGTCGCCTGCTTCATCGCTTCTTCCACCGCGTCCGACTTTGCAACGCAGACCGTAGGCGGTTCGTAACGAGTGCTCCTGTCCGCGAGACTAAACTCCATCTTGTCGAGTATCACGTCCTCGTCGTCGTCGGCGGTCGGTCCAACGCATTCCGTCAGTTTGACAATCTCCATTTATTTATTTAAAGTATTTGTACCAAAAATCTTCGAACACTCGCCTGTTGATAAAGTAATACACACTGAGTGTGAGTATAGACGCAAAGATCGCGGCCCTGAATGCTATGTTTTTAATACTGGAACCTCGCCCCCTCTTTATTTTTGCGTACAGAGCGTCAATCAATTCGGCTCGTTCATAGACCGTCAACTGTTCGTTGGAAACGATTTGTGCGACCAATTCTTCCCTCGAGCGTCTAAGTATCGCTTCCTTTTCTTCGCGACGCATCGACATCGTCACCGATTTTTGTAAATAGCACGTGAGAGTGCGCAACGGCGTCGCTGATGGCGTAAATGGCGAGCGTGGATAATAGGACTGCCGTCCCGACTTTGCAGAACACGTGAAAGGCGGACGAGTCGCGCAACTTGTTCCAATCGGGCATTGTGATTATAGTTTTTTTTTATGATTCCGACTTCTTTGTATTCACATGCGCTTGTTTCTTCTTTTCCCATTGTGCATTCATCACGCGTTGTAGCGCAAAGTAGGACGACACTCCAAAGACAATCGTGGTGGCAATGTTCAACACTACGGTCAACCCCCCTTTGCGTTCAATCTCGTACATTTTTTTTATTCTTTATATTCCTCGTGCCGACCGTCGTCCTTTGAAGACGTCTTTCTGATCTCGCTTATCAGGTCGTTGATGGCAAAGTAGGTGACGGTGCTCAGAGCCAGCACTACGCCGACCTGACACATGATCTTGAAGACGTTGGGAGATCTCTCCGATACGTGCTTCTTCAAAAGCTTCACAAATATGTCCCGACCGTAGTCGTCGTCGGCCACCGCATCTACGACACCGTGCGGCAAAAACCCCTTGGCGGTATTTCCCGCTGTGACCGCCGTGTAAAGATTCATGTTTTTTTGATACCAAAACGTACAATGTTTCAGAAAAGGTGGGAAGAGGAGTTTGAACGCGCAATGAGCGTACCTTACACGGCAGTACCCATTTCCGTTGCGGGTGACGTGGCCTTTGACATGGCCAGGGTCAGAGTCAAGCGGCTCGTCGTAAAGATCAGCAAGTACGTAGCGTCCAAGATGACGACCGCCGCGAGCCGAGCGGTAATCCAAAAGATTGCCACAAAGTATGGCGCAAAGAAAATTGGAGCCTGGGTCGGCACCACCATACTCGTCAGATTGGCTCAGGGCATGGCCCTCGGCATCGCCAAGACGGTGGCCACGGCCGCGTCTACGGCCAACGCGGTGGCCACCGTCGTCATGTTTGTTCTCGGCATGGCGGGCGCAATCTACGACGCCATAGATCCGAGGGGCTTCAATAACATGCCCACCACAATGGACGAGCTGTTTGAGATGGTAGACCAGGCCATCGAGAACGACAAGTTTAACCTGACTAACGCCGACGTTGCGACGACCAGCTACCCGGTGGAGGTGTATCCGGAAAATTACGTGCCGCTGCCTCGCAACGACATTTCGGAGACGGACGAGTTTATAGGATACGTCGCCGAATATCTGAGCGCCCTACAAGTAAACAGCCGCGGCGAAGCGATCACGGGGAAAGACGAGCCGGTCACCGAGGGAAGTCTGATGGGTGAAGTCTTGAACTCAGCCACCGTCGTTGCAGAAGATCGTCTGCCGAGCGACCTCGAGAGAATCCTCGAGCGTCTTCTCTACGAGTCCATGGCCAGCGCGCAAGACTTTGTCAGGGAAGGAGACGCTCGCGTGGGGCAGTCGACTATTCGTTGGATCAAGGCGATCGGAGTGCCGGCCGCGGCTGCGCTGGCCGGCACAAAGCTTTACCGCTCGCTAATGTCGTCGTCGTCCTCTCGATGAATCGTACGCTTCTTTGGCTTTAACGATAAACACGATGATGCCAAATACGGCTCCGAACCCCAGTCCTATTTTAAGCACGGTTGGTAAGACCCCTAATACGCTTTTTCCAAACTTCCCCACGTCTTGCGCAACGTCCAGGACAATGTCACCGGCAATGTCGGCGATGGAGGGGCTGTTGCACTTGTACGTGACGTTCGGGTTGATTTTAAGCGAATTGAAAGCCACGAGCGCGTCCCTGTCGTCTAAACCCATATCGCGCCTGAGACTCTCGGTAGAGTCGGGGACCAGGTACTTGTCGTCGCACAACACGGAGCAACCGGGGTGATTCGGCATGGGAGTCGACTTTGATGGTCGGTCGGCGGCGTCGGCGTCGTCGAAGGTGGGCAGCGGCACAGACTGACACGGCTTGATAGGCGCTCTGTCTGTGAAGGTGTTTTCGCGCAGCGGCACGAGCGTGTACTCGAGGGCCCTGCAAACGCCCACGGTGCCGTCGCTAAACTTTGTGTACTGCAGACAACCCGTGTTGGCATCCTTGAGAGTGTTTAGAACGAGACCGAGTGGCACTCCTACGGCCGTGAGCACCAGTCCGACGTTGGTCAATTTTAGAAAGAGCCTGCTCTTGAATTTCGTCCCACCCTTTGCGATCGTTTTTTCGATGGACTTTAACTGCTCTACAACCTCGTCGCTGACGCCCGCCTTCTTGAGGACGGACGCGTCCACCTTGGAGCCCGCCTTGTTGAGCGACCCAACAATTTCTGCGTCTTTTAGCTTGTCCGATTGCTTGGCCAGGGTGCGGAGCGTGTCGTCCACAGAGTCCGCCGCCTGGTGCACCGAGGACAAGATTGCCGTCTTATTCTGTTTGGCCAGCTTGGAAAGTAGCGTCTCGTCGAGCACTCCGTCGGTCGCTCCAAGCATCTTTTTGAGTTTGGAGACGTCTCCGTTGCGTAACGCTCTAAAGAACGAGGAAGCGTTCACCACGCTCGTGCCGGTCTTTGTGGTGATTCGCAAGTCGCTGGCGCTATGCAACACGTCCTCCAGCTTGGTTATGCCGAGTCGTTTGAGTTCTGGCAGTTCCTCGACGATCCGCTTCATGGGGAACGAGCTCCTGACAGTCGTTTTCAACTTTTTCACGCGATTGGCAATCGCTCCGACGAGCGAGAGTTTGACGGCAAAGTTTGTCGCGTATTTAAAAAATACGGGCTTCATTTTTTTTAAATAGGCGAACATGGATGGAGCCATATGGCAGGGGCAGGTATACGACGATAAGCGCGACTTCGCCGCCGACCAGGCTAAAGTTAGGCAAAAGATTTTCGAAAAGTTCTTTATGGGGCGGCCGTTTGCCATACCGTACGTAAGCGAATACGTCGCCAAGACGGTCGGTGATCAGACGAAATGGACGGAGGCCCGCTCTATGCCGGCGGTCAGGCGTATCCTGTACGACGTGCCGTCGATTCCAATGAGAGAGTGGTCGCGATATCAGGAGCTGGCAGCCAAGAACCCCGTATTTGAAAGGTTCCCTCAGTCACATTACCAAGTATACTTCTTTACTCTCTTGCTCAGAATATTTACGGGAACGCCAGTCCCCCCAAACGATTGGATCCTAGCGCTATTTCTAGTGAACGCCGTAACTCCTTCGGCCGTTCACGTGGTTTACAGCCCTAACTGCAAGGGCACCTCGGTAGCCGCGACTCCGTGGGCTTGCTACTTCGACTCGCTCGAAGTGCCGACCTTCTGCGTGACGGGTACCGTCTTCACCTTCAAGGACGGCGAGGTGCGCGACGGCGATAGAATACGCTTAACGAGGGGGCCCCCATTGCTCTGGTACCCCATGTACGTGGCGACCCGGGACGAGGAAATCACGCTGGACGCTCCATTTCTCACGGTTCCTTTTACCTTCTCGTCGTGGCTTCAACACAAGGGTCGCATAATCGACATTCAAACCTGGTTCAAGGTTACTGGCGCCGAGATGGCCACCCTGTACGAGTCCACCTACCGATGCAATCACAAGGGCGGCTTTGTGGGTAATCTCTTGCGCCTCTGCTACAGATTCCTAATGTACGCGGAACCCGGAGGAGGCGACAACTCCAACATTCTCGTGTACACCGAACTGAGCGACCAGCGCGTCGCCGTCAAACTGCACGACCTAAACTGGTTCGCGTCTTCCGATAACGACAGATCCCAGGACTACGTGGTGTCTGAACTGAGTGTGGACGCTCTATTCACCGAGTCTAGTCTGGAGGAGAAGGTGGCCGCGTCCACCTGGCCCTACGTTCCAGAAACAAATAGGAAGGCCGACCACGCTTTCCGCCCAAACAAACTGCTGCGCTCCTGTGTCCGTACGGTATTTAGAGATATATTCGAGAAATCGAGGGACGTGCGATCGGCCGACATTCGAAATATTGCGACCCCGGTTCGCCTAATGAGCTTTTACGAGTTTGTGATAGCGAGACTGGTACCCACCCTGACGAAATACGGCGTCGACACGCACGCAAAAGTCAATCGACACTTTTGGGCGACCGCCGTCGACGCGGTGATCAGTGCTTACGCCTTGGGTGACCCCGAGAAACCGTCGCGCTACGACGAGTGGATGCGTTACAGCCGGTTTTACGTGGCCTTTACAGGCACGTTCTGGGGAATGGATCCACGCGCGTGGTCGCGAGCAGAGTGGTTTGCCTTCGTCAGGAACCCGCACGGTGCAATGTCCACCTACTATGGCTTTTTGCGTCCAGACCGCGTGATCGTCCAAGTGTTGGGTCCGACGCGAGTGGGTCTGTGTCCCGAATCGCGCGAAGAGTTGATGACCGCGGTCGACCAGATACTTCCTCCGCGCTACGTGTATTTCCTTAGACACCTCTTACCGGTCGACACACTCGGTCACAATATGGCGGCTGTCTTACGCGCAAAAGATTACGACGCGTTCCAGGCCTCTTTGGACCGTCTCGACTGGCTCAAAGAAAAGTGTTTACAGGTGTACGTTCAAACGTTTTATTACAAGAGTAGAAATATAGACAAGAAGGTCACTTTTTCAAAATTGAAGTACTCCTTCCGGTCGTCGTCCGATTACCCCGACTGGTTGAGCGTAATCGAGTTTGAGGTGCCGCGAGCGGACGCCTTGAACGCTGCTCGCGTCGTCTGGACCGCCATCGCGCGTCTACGCTCCGTCGTCGAGGTGGGACTCAGGTTCGAGATGCTGCCGCACGTGGAGCCCTACCTGGGTCGCTTTGCCAGAAACTACTTTACGAGAGAAGAAGCCGAGCTCCTGTCCGGCAGCGATTACACGAATCTAAACTTGAGGGACGACGAGTTTATGGATTTCTTATTTCACAGCAAGGGTAAGGTGACTTGTACGGAAGTGTTTTCCAACGAAGAAGAAGAAGGAGAGGAAGAAGAGAGACCACGACGCAAGCGTTCCGTGCTCTCCCCGGGGGAGGGTAGACCAAAGGGTAGTGCCGTCCTGACGGAAAGACTGGCTCAGGGACTGTTTGCGATCGCGGTGGAAATGTCTCGCGGAAACTCTGACGGTGTGCATAGCTTGGTCGAGACGTACGTGCCTTACAAGACCAATAGTCTACGCCTGACGTACGACTCGCGCGACGACGAGTGGAGCTTGTCGAGAAGGAGCAATGGCCGGTACTCCAAGCTCGAGTTTGATTTTCACGTAGAGAGGGAATCTGCCCTGAGGCCGGCCACGATTCGCGACGTTATTTGCGAAATGGCCATGGGAAACCTGGAAACCTTTTCCGCCTTTGCTCTGAAATTGTTCGACGTTCACCTAGAAAAGGGCAACGACTATATCGCACCAAACCCATGGATCCTGGAAGCGCCGGCTCGGATGGGGACGAACCCACTTCGCGAATGCCAGACGGTTACCGCCAGAGATTTGGTCGACATGAACGTTTTCACTTCGGCCGAGGTGGCGGCGACCTATCTCGGCTTTACCACGGATTCGTGGGCGGCGATTGCGCGGTCGATCGACGAGATTCCGAACCGCAAGATTTTCGTGGCTCCCGGCATCGAGCCTTATGGCGTGCCTCTGGAATACGTTCTCTTACGAATCCGAAAGAGATAAAAAATCATCACGTCAAAAAAAATCGGCCCCTGAGAGCAGATAAACGCCAAAAATACGTCGTCCTGCTTTATAAATTCGCATGTTGGAGAAGCACCGACGTGGACTTCGTGTAAATGCATTCACACTCCCCGATGCCAAGTTTAACCTTCGTGTTGTTGTCGTTAGGGGGGACTTTTTGAAGAAAAATTTTAAATGCTGGAGAAGCGGCGGTGTGGAGTTCATGTGGATACATTCACACTCCCCGATGCCAAGTTTAACCTTCGTGTTCTTGTCGTTAGGGGGGACTTTTTGAAGAAAAATTTTAAATGCTGGAGAAGCGGTGGTGTGGAGTTCATGTGGATACATTCACACTCCCCGATGCCAAGTTTAACCTTCGTGTTGTTGTCGTTAGGGGGGACTTTTTGAAGAAAAATTTTAAATGCTGGAGAAGCGGCGGTGTGGAGTTCATGTGGATACATTCACACTCCCCGATGCCAAGTTGAACTTTCGTATTGTTGTGAGATGAACTGCCGAATAAAATAATTTATATTGAGAAAAACAAAACACCACTCCTTCCTTGCTTTTAACCTTTGTTACTAAGAAAGTAGTTGCTTTAGACTTGTATGGTATAGAGAGACACGAAAGGTGTTTGTCCTTTGTTTCTGAAAATGTTTAACCGTAGTGTCGTTGCTATGAGATGGTAAGAAAAAGAAAATTTGAAAAGTTGACGGGACAATGGTTAGGAAATTTTTTTTTTTGCTATCAGATGGTTAAGTGAAGAAAATTTGAAACCTTGACAGGACAATGGGTAGGGAATATTTTCGATGAAAGGTTAAACGAAGTGACTCGTGTAATGGATTATATAAAGGAGTAGGTTTCCGTAGAAGTCACATCAACAAGCCAGCGAAACCTCCGTTACACGGTAAGTTTCATCTAAAAAATGTTTATTGAACGTAGAGTGTTCGTGGATTTTTTTACAGTGCGGGGAATGATCTTACATTCACGCGAGTCTTATCCTTAAGATCAGATTTCGAGCAGGCAAGGCGAGGTCTGGTGTTTTACCTTCAAAGCCGCGAATACCGTGAAGGACGATACTCGCTACAAAATGGCAATCGATGCGGTCTAGTAGGTTGGAGATATCACTTCGGAACTACGTCTCAATGGGCTCGGTAGATAACTACTTGGGGGAAAAGAAATCGCTGCTGTACTCAAGTATCGTGACCTCGGTAGATAAGTGTGTCGGAGGTATCAGTGGAAAACTACGTCTCAATGGGCTCGCTAGATAACTACTTGGGGGAAAAAAGAATCGCTACCGTCTCAAGTGTCGTGACCTCGGTAGATAAGTGGGTTGGAAATATCAGTGGAAAACTGCGTCTCAATAATCTCGATAGATAACTAGTTTGGAGAAAAAGAATCGGTACCGTCTCAAGTATCGTGACCTCGGTAGATAAGTGGGTTGGAAATATCAGTGGAAAACTAAGTCTCGATAGATAACTAGTTTGGAGAAAAAGAATCGGTACCGTCTCAAGTATCGTGACCTCGGTAGATAAGTGGGGTTGGAGGTATCGGTAGAAAACTACGTCTCAATGGCCTTGATAGATAACTATTTCGGAGAAAAAGAATCGCTGCGGGCTCGAGTATCGTGACCTCGGTAGATAAGTAGGTTGGAGATATCGGTGCGGACGTAAGTCTCAATGGCTACAGATAACTACTTCGGAGAAATCAGTGTTGACCCATGATAACGCAAGTGAATAAAAGCTCCAACTTGGAACCCCACAGCACTACTCTCTCTTCGCCTAGCCCAGACTCACCGACCACCGAATACCCCAGGCCACTTCGGACCCGACTCGGTAAGTTACTCTTTATTTTGTAAGCTACCTCTTTTCTTCATTACCTTCCATTATTACGCAGGCTCACCGACCACCATCCCAGACTCACCGAAAACCGCCCCAGGCGCACCGACCACCACATACCCCCAGGCCACTTCGGACCCGACTCGGTGCGTTACTCTTCATTTTTAAGCTACCTCTTTTCTTCATTACCTTCCATTATTACGCAGGCTCACCGCCCACCGCCCCAGGCGCACCGCCCACCGCCCCAGGCGCACCGCCCACCGCCCCAGGCGCACCGCCCACCGCCCCAGGCGCACCGCCCACCACATACCCCCAGGCCACTTCGGACCCAAATCGGTGCGTTACTCTTCATTTTTTAAGCTACCTCTTTTCTTCATTACCTTCCATTATTACGCAGGCTCACCGACCACCGCCCCAGACTCACCGCCCACCGCCCCAGACTCACCGCCCACCGCCCCAGACTCACCGCCCACCGCCCCAGACTCACCGCCCACCGCCCCTAGACTCACCGACCCATCACCTACCCCCAGGCCACTTCGGACCCGACTCGGTACGTTACTCTTCATTTTGTAAGCGACCTCTTTTCTTCATTACTTTCCATTATTACGCAGGACCACCGCCTAAACCCAGCTTCCGAACAGCACCGTTGCAGCTCTTCTTGGTCTCGACCCATCTCTGTAAGTTACTCTTCATTTTCTAAGGCACTTCTTTTGTTCATTACCTTCCATTCTTACGCAGGCTCACCAGAAGGACCACATCTCTACCATGGCGGCAACAATTCTCAAAAAGGTTCAGGTCACGAGGAACTGGTGCCGCGCCTTCCCGGCAAGGGCCAGTTCTCTCGGGGACCTATTTAAAGGATATATTGATTTGAAAATTCAATTGGCTTTAACTATAATTCAAAAAGTATTCGAATATTTTCTTGATTCGAAAAATACTATCGCAGATGTCGATAATTCGCGATTCAAGACGGTCGTCGCAGTCTTTTCAGCATGCGGCGACCCGATTGATCGTCGAATTGTAGAAATTATTAACTTTCTTAATTCGTTGCATTTTCTGAACGTATTCGAAATTGCTCTAACGAAAAATTATTTGGTACTGTTTTTGAGAATAGTACCGTCAAGGAAGGTGGACTCGAGTGGACTATCCCGTGTACTCGGCTTCGCCCACGAAGTCATATCCGACTACGTGGGCGAAGACGAAAATGCATGGGACGAGTCCCTGGACATCGCGGCCCCTCCACCTCCATCGGATACCGCGATGTTCCACGGCATCTTCCAAGTAGAAGATATGGACCACCTGATGGCGGAGATGGGAACTCGCCTGGACCGGACCACAAAGTGGTCCGAGCTGCGAAGGGTCGTCGTTCGGAATCGCGACATTGCAAAATATTATATTGATCCCAAAAAACAAGGAATTTATTATTAAATGATGATGATTAACTTTATTTTCAAAAAGGGTGGCGCCATGGCCTAAATAAACTTATTATCGTACGACAAGAAACACTTGTGTTTTTATTCTTTCACGCCCCGTGGTGTGTACATACACATCTGTTTAAGGCGATAATAGAAAGCCAATATTGGGAGAGGGGGTAGTATGGAAATAAATATCTTTGTCCGTCGGTCCCTCTGGTACAACGGACACCAAAAAAAAAGAAGGTCGAGTATCGGAAAATTATCTTTTTCTATGGTTCTATTGGGAGACAGTCAATTGTATTAGGTCTTGGATATGTATTAAACTTTAGTATGAGCTTTTATTTGTAAAAAAAAACCGGCCAACCACTTCCATTCCAATCCGCTTTTTGCGAGCTTATGAGATGCTCACAGGGGCTTCTCTGCTTTTTACGAAAAATTACACTAAGGAGCAAATACGCCTGTGAGGTAAAAATTACCTAGCTAGATTCAGCTACAGAAAAATGGGAGAAAGCCTAAAAAAAAACAGACCCAGTCCCCTGGGTGTGTTTAAATGACCGCAGCACGCTGACCATGCCTTTGGAATGCGTTTTTTAAGAATCCGAAAGATATATCGACAAAAAACCTTCGACCGCATTGCACCTCAAAAAAAAGAATTCGAGCATACTCATGGCGACTAAACCAGCCTACTTGATCACCAAAGGCACTAGCGAGGAAGATAGACACGCGGAAATTGAAGCAAATATAAGAGCCTTCCGAGCCGCTGCTAAGGAAATTGAAAAGAATATACGAGAAAAGGAAGACGGCGATCTACCCGGCCCTTTGTGGCAATTTCTATGCATCTTGATCTATCCGATTTTTGTCGTATCTGTGCTATATGCATGTGCAATCTCGAGGCTATTCAAAGCCACAATAAACCTGGCAAGAGACATGTGGCGAGAGAGCTCCGGTAAACTAGAGTACGATCGTTTCGTGCGTACTTCCCGTTGGTGCCTGATAACCTGTACCGCCATGTCGGTGTACATTTACTATTGCATCTACACTATCTTCTATTAATAAAAAATGCATGGGACAAATTTGGACGCACCACATAGTTAAGGCCGCATTCCACGAGGGTGGCGTTACAGACACAGGGAATACTCCAAGGTGCGCCCGACGACCAAGGACGCGTACACTGCCTCCAAAAAAAAAACGGAGAAGCGGTCTAAGTCCCCTCAAGTACTGGACGCTCCGCTATTTGTGCCGCACGGAAGCGAAAAAACTCGAGCGAGTATGCGAATAATAAAAAATGACTAATGAAACCCAGAAAGTCTACAGACTGAAGGAGTCAACAAAAAGAGGAGCCGCGCTCCCTTTGGAAAATGCAGAAGTGCGACCGCCCAAAGTTCCTACGGCCACCCAGCCCTTTGGAATGTGTCGATGGAGTCGAAGTTCCCGGGCTGTCGGAGGTGCGAGCGACGCCGACGGAGGCGATCGCCGAAATCGAGGTTGAAGCCAACCGGTGAAGCACTCGAATCGCCCCCCGACCAGGGCAGGTGCATAGCCCGCTCTGCAACAAAAGGAAAGGAAACGATTTTAAGACTCGACATCCCTCCAGACTCGGAGATTGATGAGAAAAGGTTAGCGTCACCGCGACCCCCCATTAACGCCACAATCGCCTTTATTCTGGGCGGGAATGACGATATTAGCGACACCGGTAGCGACTGGGACGAAGTGAACGCCGGCGAAGAAACGAGTGTGTCCGACTGCCCCTCGGACTTCTCTGTGACGCCACTGTTGAAAGAGCTTTTTTCGGGGTCCGTGCGATCTCGGCCGACGAGGATCTCCAACGAAGTGTACTGCGTAGGACTCGGGGCGGCGAGTTCGCCGCATGTAGACGACGCAAACGACAGATGGAATCGGGAGTACGACACCGACCAACAAGCCCAGCATCGAATCTCAAAGGTGCTTCATCCATTCATTCATGTAGCTTTCCAAAAAAGCGGAGCCGAATTTATACGCACTT